GTCCATATTAAAGTGTTCTTTTTAAAAGATTAATCTATGTCATGCATCTTCTTAAAAACCCTTTAATGATTCCCAATCATCCTCCTCAATAGTCTCCAAACGTTATAAAAATCAAACACCCCACCTATGCCAGCATACTAATGTATTGAGCAGCGAAATAAAAAGTTTGTGTTTCAGGGCAATGGTTGGGAGGGAGCGATTACTGCTTTGAGAAGGGAGATGAAAACAGCTCAAGAAAGAGGCATGTTGAAACTTCCTAAAAGGAATCGCAAGGAAGGTAGGTGAGGAGAATTTTGATTTGGGTTTCCACTTACATGGCCCCTAGATGGCAGGAGGCAGCTACTGAATGTCTGCAGAGCCTAGACCCAGCACATCATGGCTGAGGACCAGTGAGCGTGTCCACGGCCAGGTCAGTGGTCAAAGGACAAGACCACTGTGAGGACACAGGGCACAAGACCAATTCTTCCCCGCAACGGTGGGTAACTGAAGGAACGACGGCTATGAACCCAGCTGACACAGGGTAAGGGCCGGGTTCCTGGGTTCCCTGGCATCAACTCTATCCACAGTTTCGTTTGATCTCATCAGGTAGAGCAAGCAAGATGAAAGGAAAGAGAGCTCTCACAACCACTGAGAGCCGGGACATCTGGGCTTGGAGCAGACTCTCTGTAGCTCTTATGAGCAAAAGTGCACCATTCCATAGACTGTCGTTAATATGTGGGACTAAGGGCTGCTTATTATGAACCTATCAAAATGAGTTTTTAGAAATTACCAACATTAATAATAGTAAGTTAGACTTCACTAATGGTCCTGATTCACCATGCTCCTGAGCGGTCCAGGGGCCATTCAGCACCGTGGAGACCCTGCGGATGCCTGGGAGCGAGTTCAGTAAGGCCAGAACTCCTGCACCTCCAGCACGGGCACTTCCTTGGCAATGCATCACCACTGCATGTCCAGGTAGCTATGGCTTTCATAGATGTTATTCTTGTCTTTTAATTACAAATTATTTCATCAGTTTGGTTACTCTTACAGCACATAGAGAGGCAAATTTATAGCATCTGACTCGTAATTTTCGAATACTTAGACTTAAAAACATGAGCTCATTCCTAACTGTGTACTGCTAAAGTGACTATAGACAGGAAGCACCCCCACACTCTGGTATGCTTAAATAATTACACATTGTTGGTAACATACGGCCTATAAATGTGTTCTATATAAATAGTTTGCATCTACCACCAAGGTAAGTATAAAAAACGTACAGTTTTTAAGTTATAGGGCATGGTTTTATAATATAGAATCACGTTTGTAAAAACTTGCAGTACAATTTGTTTATGTTGGTTGCTCTCCAAAGCCTTATTAGAGATTCTTTTCCATCAGAAAGTGGGAATGGGTGGGGAAAATTGGTTGGTCTTTCTAACTGGGCTACAGAAGGAAAAAAATCAGAACCACTGTGGTCCACTTGAGCCACTCAGAATTCCCCAGACAGATCCTGCTTGCATATTGAAAGAGGCCATTTTTAAATCAATCATTGTTTTTGTGTTTTATTCAGATATTTAATCTTATGTAGATGCAAAATAAACTTGTCATTTGTAGCAATGTTGAAGTAGTGGGATGATTATTGCTTTTCTTCTCTTGACCTGTAACTTGGCTTTAACATTTACTCTCAGGAGGAGATTGTGTGAGGCTACGTCGAACAGTGGTTAACAGCCTGGATTCTGAAGCTGGTTTGTCATTTACTGGCTGAGTCACCTTGGACAGGCTCCTCCTCATGGAGCCTCAGTTTTCTCATCTGTCAAATGGAGACAACAACAGGGCCCATCTCAGAGGGTTGTTACGAGGATTAAATCAGTTCATACCCTAAAAGTGCCAGGCATATACATACTTTGTACTATGGAAATGCTTGTTATTGCTGATGTTTGTCCTGTTCTCTTGGCCTCTCCTCCATTCACCTGAGAAAGAGCAGGTAAAATGCCACCAGAGAAGTCTTCCTCCACCTCTGCTGGCAAGATCAGCATCTCTCAGCTCTATCTCACATAACAGGGACAATACCGTATAGCACTTTCATACTGTCCTCAAATTATTTCTTTTTACATTTCTTCCCCTGCTAGACTGTCAGCTCCTCCAAGGCTGGGACTGTCCCTTATTCACCTTTGCATTCGTTGTAGCACCCAGCCCAATTCCAGTGAATGAATGAGTAAATGGATTTTCCTTCACTCTAACTACTCGGGAGGGGCAGGGATCACACTTTCAGAGTGCCTTCTGTGTTAAATTGTTTGGCACTAACCTGGTCCAAACCACAGATGGTAAAAACCTTAGGATTTCAGGAGCAGATACCCTGGCATCCCCCGTCTTGGCGTACGGACCCTTCTAGAGGGAAGCCATGGGCAGTCCTAGCTTTCTCTACCCCAGCAGGGATGTTCTGAAGCCACCTCTTCTTGCAACTCAAAGAAGTGGCTGCTCTTGGGAATGTTCCCTCTGCCCTTCTTCACATAGTGCCTCCTGCCACCAAGTGCAGAGTCTAGCCCCCTCATTACTGTCCAAAGCAGCCTGGTGACCCTGGGCACCCAGAGGCACACGTGCCTCTACTTATGTATTCCCTGAGACAGCAGTGGGACATCATCAAAAACGTCCCCAACAGGAGGAACCCAGAAGAGAGGCTCTAACAGAAAAAGGTAGTAGGCCTGGTCTCAGTAAGTCTGTTTCATGATGGTGTTTTGACACCAAAAAAAAAAAAAAAAGCATAGCTGATTTTTCACTTGGCTCCAAAGTCATGCTGCCAGAGGAAACCACCAATTAAAATACATTTACCTCTAAATCTTCCTATTTTTGGCTCCGAGGACCAAATAGGTTAGGCCCTCAGAATATAATGGGAATATATGGGTTTCCCCTGCACTGTTCTGACTCGCATTGACTGCCCGAGTGTTTCAGAATGTAGTGATGAGCAGAGCTCAGCAGAAGGGAAAACTAAAAATAAAAAAGTTTTCTCTCTGTTTGGCCTTTACTGTCCAAATAACATACATCTCCCCAAATGTGTCATAGCTCACAGGTGCTAAGAACTGTCAAACGTCATATGTGTCAAATGCATGTAGCCATGAAGAGTCAGGACAAGGAAGGAGGGGCTGGGGTGCTGGCAGCCAGCCAAATGGAGCCTTGATGGGAGATTTTGGAAGGCAGAACAAAGACAGTCCCTAAAGTAAATCTGCTTGTTCCTCTACTGGTCCACCCAACTTTGGAAAACAAAACTAGAACAGAGCTTCTCAAACATAAGGATCGCCAGGCGAGCTTGCTAAGACAAGGATTCCAGGGGTCCCACCCACAGCGATGTGGATTCTCTAAGGCAGGTAAGGCCTGGGAATTTGAATTTTAACAAGCTCCCATGTGCTGCTGCTAGTCTGAGAGCCACCATTGGAGTAGTACTGCACGCGAACCTGTGACCACCCAAATGCTTGGAGAATAAACGAGCTTTCTTGCTGGGTGGCCAAACTCAATGATCTAAAATAGAACTCCTCATCCTCGTCCTCTCCTGGAGGTGGAGGTGGCACCCCCACCTCAGCAGCAGTGGCTCCCCCATCCCTTCCCTACCTGCTGGGATGCTGCCAGTCCATGAGACACAGATCAGGAAGACAGGCAAGTCCCCACTCTCGCAGAGCCTTCATCCCAATAAACAAGGATGCAGGACAATTTGCGACTGCAATGCTGCCTGGGAGGAGGTAGGCAGGACAATGTGCCAAAGACGGACTGAGGGAGGACACTTTAGACGGAAAAGGGCTCTCTGAGGACTTGAACATTTGAGCTGAGATCTGAGATCCCAGGGGCATTCCAGGCAGGGGGACTGGACAATGTGCTAGCCTGGTGGAAGGGACAGAGTTCAGTGTGTTTGTGGACCAGAACAAAAGCCTGAGTGGCTGGACCATTATAAGTGGCAGTGGGGAAGGCGGGCAGAAAAAGTTGAAGATGGAGAGGAAGGCAGGGGCAAGATTAGGCAGGATTCTGTAGCTTTATGAAGGAGTTTTCTGTTTGTTCTAAGCTCAACAGGAAGAACAGCCTGCGAGGGGCAGGATTTCGAAGCACAGGTGATGGGAGTCCATGGCATCGTTCAAGTGATGGAGCATATGAGCTGGAAACAGCAGAAGCAGAGGGAACGGAAGGCACGGGGGTGTATCTCAGAGGTAGCATCAGTATCACTTGCCAATAGATTAGATGTGGGATGAGAAAAAGGGAAGGATTAAAGGCGACATATAGATGTTTGGTTTGAACAAAAGGGTGCATGGTGGTATCATTAATCAGAGACAGGAAGACTAGAGGAAGAACAAACGGTAGAAAAGTAGAAAATCAAAACTTTCATTTTGGGCATGTTAAACTTTGGGAGGCTTCTAAATGAAAGTGGCATCCATGTAAGTGGAAATGTCGGGAAAGCAGTTGAACATAGAAGCCTGGAGTTCAGGGGCCACTGGGCTGGAGTCA